AGCTGAAAAAGAAGCAATTGAAAACGAGTTTCAACGTATAAAAGGCAAGTACATATCTACATTCATAAGTATTTGCATATTGCATACGTTCTTCAAAAGTGAATTAACTCGAAATTCCACGCTTGTCATAAAACGCCCAAAAAAACTTCCTGAGCTCATATTAAAGCGCCTGTCAGACGTGGCAAAGCAATATATTTCGAAAAAACAGTCAAATTGAGAAATTTCAGAAAGCAGTTGCGTGAACAGTCACATCTTGCATGTAAAGTGCATTGTGCATACTATCTATCTGTTGAGATCACCTGGTTTTATTTGCTACAGGGCTACACTCAATATATATATATATATAAAAAATGTAAACAAACTCTGACAAAAGTAGCAAAAAAGTTAAGTGTTATTGACCAAAAGGCTTTAAAATACTGAAATGTCATATAAATGCAGGAACTCATTTAATTTTTTGCAAATGCAAATTTTTTACTTTATTTTAATCAGCTTAAACATCCTAACATTTTGGCGGGATATTTATACATTTTGACAAGTACTTTCCAGGTAGCTTCCAGGCGGTTTCCAGGCAGAAGAAGAACATTTTGACTTTCGAAAGAGGTTTTTTTTATTTGCGAAAGGCGAATTGCAGATTGCTAGTGCAGCACGAGCAAGTTGAAATATATTTCCGAAATCGATTAGCGCGCTTTGAGTTGCAGTCACACCTTGCAACTTTCATTTCTGAAACTGATTTCCGAAAAGTGACGGAAAGGACTTTCTGGCTGTTCACACATGGAAATAAAATTTCTCTTTCTCAATCTGACAGCGAATCGCGTGGAAAAGTTGGAAATATTGCCACGTCTGACACGCTTTTTAATCGTACGGGGTAGAAAAGTTTTTGTAACAAATTACAACAAAGTATTAGGGCCGGTTGTTCAATGTCTGGTTATCACTACCACTACACTATCGACGATTTCGACATCATGCATGTAACATGTGATCAATAAAGCAGTAGTTGTGCTTAACCGGAGCTTCTACCTCCGATTTGTGCTAATCAGACATTGAACAACCGGCCCTTAGTGGTATTCACGAATTGAACAAGTTTAGACAAAATAACTTTGCTTTCCGTAAGTTGGAATTTAGAGTAAAATATAAGGAACTTTTAATTAAGGATTTAACATTTTTATTTAACTTTCTTTAACAATCAGCTAATCTGCTATTTTGCTATAGTGCCCAGACCACTTGCTCAATTTGGTGGATACCTATAGTATGTTTGAGATGGAATGACATGGCATAACACCTTGTTTGAGATGACATATATAGCAATGCATGAAATTTTTGAAAATATCTTTTTTACCGAATATCTTGAATTGAACAGATGTGTATGTATGTATATACATAGTTCATGTACATATACCTTAATATAGAAGGGCCCTAACTCATTTTCTGTTCAAATTCAGCACTCTACAAAAGTATGCCGATAACTCACTGAAATCCTATTGGATTTTAAAAATAACTACTACAACATAAAATTAGTTAAATTTTTCAATAAAAACGGTATTTAAAAGAATTTTGTTGCAAAATAATTAGATTTTCTATGGAGTTTTTCATCACTCCATAAAGAAACAAAAATGTTAGATAGGGCCTTTCGATAGTAAGGTGCCGATAAGTATGTATGTATGTATATGCACTTTTGAAGAACGTGTGATATTACATACTTTAGTAATTTGTGTTTAATATGTATGTACATATATATTACGAAGTTATATAAATTCACAGCATATTGTAACAATCTATATCATCTATAATTTTCAATATGGAAGTGTTATCAATTGCACTTGTCTAGAATAGCCCACATACATACATATCGCACCCTAATTCAAAAACAGTCATAACTCAAAATTTTTCAAAATTGATTACTTTCCAAAAATAGACGATATCACTAACGTCCGCCGAAATTTCTCCTTCATCACTATATTCCTTAACGTGATACTTTAATATTTCGCGCAACAGTGCGGTTGCGATTGCATCTCGAACAATCCCATACTATTAAGATTGTTTTCGTTTTGCTTAGGTCGCTTGCGCATTTCAGCAGCCTTTCTTGAACATTTTCTATTTTTTGAGTTGTGACTGTTTTTGATTTAGGATGCGATATGTGCAAATAATTTTATCATGATTTAATCATCTACATACGTGCATGAATTGATGATGTCGTGAGGCATTAAATAAAATATCTAATATTTATTACACTAGTATACAAATATTCCCTTAAAAAGTGGTATCTCGTTACAAACTGGGTTTTGGACTAGTTTTGGGCCGCTGATCACGAAAATGAGTTGCATTTATTTTTTCAAAGAACCGTTTTCGTGGTAAAATAATTAAAAATGTTAGGACGGAGAACAAAGTTTATCAACTAAAAGTAATGAACCAAAATGAACAAATGGAAGGTTCATTGTGTTTCGAATTTAAACGCCTATAACTCAAAAAGCTCTATTGCTATTGACAAAAACAAAACACAAAAAAACATAAAAGAAAGATTAGTTCTATTCGTTTTTCTGGAGTTTTGTGGAAATAACTCCAAAAATACTCTAGGTATTTTGGCTATAGATACATATCGTCACCTGAAATGCAAAATAACGTAACAACATCGTCACTGAAATGCAAAAAGTCTTAACTTATAAAAAATTAAAAATTAACTTTTTGATTGCTATGATGGATTTCATCGAATTACAACTGCCCACATCGTTTTATGAAAAAAAAATTACGACTTTTTCCATTTCAGTGGCTATGTTGTTATGTTATTTTGCATTTCAGGTGAGGATATGTACATATGTACCTACCTCGAAAACATTTCTTTGGAAAAATAAGTTTTTTAGCAAAGTACTTTTTTCGTGTAAACTAGTGTTTTTTTATTTCTTTTTAATTATGGTGAAATAACTTGTATCACCTGCTGAGGCAGAATAGTTATAGACAAAATACACGTATTTTGATTCTTATCTATGAGCGATCAAAAATACAATTTGTTTATTTTTTACATGCATGTACATATGTACATATATGTACATTTGTATACATATATATGTACATATATATATATATATATATATATATATATAGTTTGTGAATTTAAATTATCAGGACTAACATATATATATACAGATGCGTGCAACTAATTAGCAACGAAATTCAAAACGATATTGCTTGCAAATTATGTTTATTTATTTATTTTTAATAATTTTCATTTAAAATATAATTCAATCTATAACAGAAACCGCAATAACAAATGTTGCAAAGCTTGCACAAATTGCAAAAAAATTAATCAAACTTAAAAAAAATCGTCATCAAAATTTCAAAATTTTTAATTAGAATATATAGAAAATGTTGGGGTAAGCAGTTTTGTAGCCCATTCAATTTTAGTATAATAAAGTGGAAGTTTCAAGTCGCTAAAAATTACCGTTGATTTTTTAGAATTTTTTTTGTCGAGGGTGTTGCGGATTTTTTTCCATGTAAAAAAAAAAAATTTTGATCATGTGTTATATGGAAGAAAATGCGCAACACCCTCCACAAAAAAAAAATCTAAAAAATCAACGGTAATTTTTAGCGACTTGAAACTTGCACTTTATTATACTAAAATTGAATGGGCTACAAAACTGCATACCCGAAAATTATCTAAATAGTTAATTAAAAATTTTGAAATTTTGATGACAATTTTTTGAAGTTTGATTAATTTGTTTGCAATTTGCAAGCTTTGCAACTTTTGTTATTGTGGTTTCTGATATAGATTGAATTATATTTTAAATGAAAATTATTAAAAATAAATAAATAAACATAATTTGCAAGCAATATCGTTTTGAATTTCGTTGCTAATTAGTTGCACGCATCTGTATATATATGTACATATATATATAAATACATATATATGCAGCCACGAGTAATAACTTGTCTACAACTTATACCGATTCAGGAAATTAACACAACAATATTATTGTATTAAGCTATTGTTCTTGTGATACTACCATGTTAGTCCCGAGAAATTAAATGCACAAACTTGCCTTTAATGGCAAATTAATAAATACGTGTTTATTTCTTATTGGTCGTTTTTTACAAACGTTATCATAATTTCAACGAAGTGTTTTTGAACTTTTGTTGATAATTTAATACTGCCCCTTGAAATTATTTATCTCTGTTATTAATTTTCTAATAAGTGCCCAAGTCTTCTATGAAATAAAAATATAAAACTTTTTTTCAGAAAATGTCTACCTTGATCACGCTGGAACTACGCTTTATCCTGAAAGCTTAATAGATGCCTCTAGCAAGGTGCTCAAAGATAATTTATTCTGTAATCCACACACTTGCAAAGTAACCGGTGACCTCATAGATCAGGCTCGTTACAGGTAAATACAACTTTCTAAATTACGTATATACATACATATGTACAAAATTAGGATAAAAAATTAATTTCAGGATACTGCAACATTTTAATACAGACGCATCCGAATATGCTGTGGTATTCACAGCCAATGCTACCGCTGCTCTGCGAATAGTTGGTGAATGTTTTCATTTCGGTGAAGATGCAAATAACGTTGGTGCTTTTTACTACTGTCAAGAAAATCACACATCCGTGTTGGGATTGCGTGAAATAGTGGGCACAAATCGCCATAATGTTTTAACCAAACACGAGATTTTGAAGAGTCTAACTGCCGTTAACGGAAATGGTTCTAATTTCGACAATAAGACAAATGGAAGTAATAAACTCAAGCATAATTCACTTGTTGCTTTTTCGGCGCAATGCAACTTCAGCGGCTACAAGATGCCACTTGAAATCATTGAAGCAATTCAAACACAGGGTTTGTCTCTTCATGGCACACCTGTTAGAGGACTGGAAAAAGGAAACGAAGCTGATGAAAGTAATTATTACATTTGCCTGGATACAGCTTCTTTTGTAGCAACCAATTTCCTAGATTTGCGAAGATACAAACCCGATTTTTGTTGTATTTCCTTTTACAAAATGTTTGGGTAAGTAAAACAGATAGAAATCGTTAGTATATAATAAGGATATGATTATGCCTCGACAGCTTTCCCACGGGAGTTGGTGCACTACTGGTGAGCAAACGTGGTCAATCAGTGCTGCAAAAGCGTTACTATGGCGGCGGGACCATAGATATTGCGATGACACGCCAGGATTTTCACCAAAAACGATCTAATTTTTCTACACGCTTTGAAGATGGCACCTTGCCTTTCCTCACAATTTCTTCGGTGCTGGAAGGCTTTCGAGCATTGGAACGTATAGTGCCTGCCACGCCGAAACGCCTGACAATGGAACGTATTAGCATGCATGTTTACCGTTTGGCTAAATATTGCCACGACTCACTCGCCGTATTACATCATGCCAATGGTGCGTCTCTAATAAAATTTTACAATCATGTCGGTTATGATGATATAGCGCTTCAAGGCGGCGTGGTTACCTTCAATGTGCTGCACGACGATGGTACTTATGTTGGTTTTGCCGAAGTTGCTTGCATTGCTGCAGTGCATAATGTACAAATACGTACCGGTTGCTTCTGTAATCCCGGTGCGTGCCAATGGTTCTTACGTTTGTCGAATTCAGACATACGAAAACAGTTCGAAGCGGGCCATGTTTGCAGTGATTATACAGATCTGGTAGATGGTATGCCAACGGGTGCGGTGCGTATGTCTTTTGGATACATGACTCGCCCGAAGGATGTGGACAAAGCAGTGGCAATGATACGTGATTGCTATCTAACTACAGCTTCTGAGCGTTTACGTGTCATAGAAAGAAGAGAACTACCGGAAGCGCTACGTAAAGTATCACAGCGCTTAAGGCCGCAGTTGAAACGCATATGCATCTATCCGATCAAATCTTGTGGCGCTTTTGAAGTGAGCAGCGCATGGCAGCTCACTCGGAATGGTTTTAAATATGATCGCACTTGGATGATTGTCGATGTCAATGGAATGGCTATTACACAAAAAACATTTTACAAGATTATGCTTGATAAGACCAATTGTGCATTTAAGGGAAGGAGTTTTGGAGCTACGGTTTCCAAACATGAAGTCTGTGCAGGTGCCATTAGAAATGCACGAAACAAATTTTTCAAAACGTATTGAATCATCTTTCTGTCAAAGCAAGGTTTGCAATGATTTAGTAGAGGGATTAGATTGTGGGGAAGCAATAGGGCAGTGGTTATCAGACTGCTTGGAAACGGAAGGTTTGCGTTTAGTGCGGCAAAATTCCGAGCGCCGCACTCAAGATGGTGCTGCCAAGGAAATCAGCTTTGCAAATCAGGCGCAATTCTTACTCATCAACCGCGCATCGGTTCGGTGGTTAGCCAATAAAGTAGAATCGGAAAAGGAATCTATCGATCAGACAGTGGACCGCTTTAGAGGAAACTTAATATTCGAGACTGCAAGCCCGTTTGAGGAAAATTCTTTTGAGGAAATTAGTATAGGTGATGTAAATTTTAAAGTAGATGGATTTTGTACGCGTTGTCAAATGATTTGCATTGACCAACATAGTGGTTGCAAAACCAACGAGCCATTGCGAACTATTGCACGAGAATTTGGTGGAAAAATACGCTTCGGAATTTATTTATCACTCAAAGGACTGGAAGAAGAAAATGCTTTTGTCTCTTGCAAAGAAGAGGTGAAAGTACGAAAGATAGAACATGGTGCAGAGCAATAAAATATAGATAATTGGAAGCAAGGCTTGGCGCATAGGAAATATAATTGATAACGATAATACATTTTACAAATATGTATGATCAAAGTGTACTTAAATTATAAGCTTCGCACAAAAACATGCCAGTTTATGAAATCTAAGTTACTCTATTATTAAATTACCTTTATGAAAATATTAAGCTATTTTCAGTATCGCTACAAGATGTAAAACAATTACATACATGTCTGTAATAAAGAATAAAAAAAATCACGCTTTAACTTTAATTATGTAAATACATACATATACATACATACGTACCTTCATATCTGTGTCGTTCAATTAAAGTAACCTAAGTGACTTTAGAATGTTTGACTTTGAATTAAAAAATATGTAATCAGCTTCTATTAAAAGGGCATCTTGAACTGCCCCTATGAATAGTTAAACATTAAAATATTGTTTGGGAACCCAATGAAATTTTGCTTTAAAGGCAATAGGGCCTAGCCCGACTTAAGGCTAATTTAACTGAACGGCACAGATATTGTCACAGCAAAGTATTACATAAAAGTAATAAAATATATTTACAAAAATATACACTAAATTATACAAATCCGTACATACAATAGAAGTTTTACATCAATGAACAAGAATTCTCTGACCTCACGTATTTCGGTGGCAAACCTTCACGGACATTTATCACGCTCTGCAATATTTCTTCCTGTGATGGGAAAGCCTGGGTTTTCAATTTCGAATGTACCAACATACCGTTTACGATAACTTCAAAGGAACCACGACGCCCAACATGACAAATTAGGTCCGTATCTGGTTGTTCTTTCATTATGTATTTTTGCAGTGTCCTACACTGCCGGGCATGTGCCGCACATAATCCACTATATTCAAACAAAAATATACATACATATGTATTATAGGTGCCACCAATATGCACTTACCAATGCTCCACATCGACTTGTATTGGTTTGCCCATAAGAATTTATATTTTCGTAGGATATCCAATACAATTGATTTCTATTCACGAAAATAAAAAAATATACATTTTTGAACTTATTAATTTTGATTTAAGTTTCATATATACCTGCTTTGACAAGCTTTTATTATTATTTTTTGTGTACTTGATTTTGTGCACCGCACAAATAACAATTATATGCATACTAAAGAAAGTTTTAATTCTCTTAAATAGAAAAGTGTTTCCATTTTCCTGTGATCACATCAGCATACAATTATCAATTGGCTGCTCCTTAACCTTTTCTACCGGTAGACCTTTTTCTGCTTTGCGCACATTTTCAAGCACGCTTTCGTGATCGGGAAATGCTAAAGACTGTAATTTGGAGTGCACCAAATTGTCATCAATTTTTACTTCAAAGGATCCCTGTCGGCCTTTGAAGCAAACCACTTCCGTTTCTGGTTGTTGTTGCAGAAGAAAGTTTTCTAACATTTTACATTGCCACTCAAAATTGCATTTTGGACTGAAAAATTGAGTTATGAGTTGTGACGATATTTATTTATGTTTAATGGCTTGTAAATCTCAACTTACCAGTATTCCACGTTTACCTTGACCATTTCAGTAAGGGCCTTTTTGTCTATTAGCAACAAGAACTTTTTACTCCAAAGGACCGTTGTTTACATAAAATAAATAAAAAGTCTCTCAGCTGTTGTTGATGGTGTTATGTTTTTGTACACAGGCTTTCAAACTTTTCGTATTTCATATTTCCCAGCAGTCGCACGAAGAGGATTTTAATAGATATCTGTCGTATTTATTTGCTTTCTTTGATTATGTACACGTGTATGTATGTTAGTATATATTTTTTAATAGATTTTAATGTATATTTTTCATACATTACTACAGTTATGAGTTTTTTCATTAATTAAAATTAAATCTTTTAATTTTTCTTACCTCCAAAAATCGTCTCTGGTTTTGTTTCATTGAAAGATTTGTCTGCAGCATAAACAGCTGTTTATATAAAGTTGTTTATTAATTTGGGCGTGCGCAAAAAATGTAGTTTACATTCCGCTTTTAAAACAAAAAATTATAGAATGCTGCATCGGCGTTGTATTGTAATAAATATGCGTTCCGCTATAGCGCTCATCATGATTTTCATTTTGAGCGGTATACGTCAAAGTCTGACTGCTGGTGGAAATCTTATGGAAGCTGAATCTAAACTGGAAGGCCAATCGAAAAACATCACAAACAACAATGACGCTATACCACTTACAATCAAAAGCATCAATGACACCAATGTATCCTGTCCAGGCACACCAGATAGCGAGTGTTCGTCGTTGCCCTTTCCTTGTATACGCTGCAATTATAACTACTCTTGTCACTATGGACGCGATATAAATGTTACTTGTACGGCATTGGACCATGTTCAATGTCAAGGTAATCGATCTTTTGTGCAGCAGATAAATTGTCGATATTGCTATCAAACGGAAATGTGGCAGCAGTCATGTATGCTTCGTGGAAACTGCAATTCCGTGAATGCACATTATTATCGCACCAATTGCACGGTACATTCGGATGTATTCTGCCTTGGTAATCGCTCATTTACACGTAATCTTAAATGTAACTGGACACAAGGTTATCGGTGGAGTACGGCGCTTATAATAAGTATTACATTAGGTGGATTTGGGGCCGATCGTTTCTATCTAGGGCACTGGCAGGAAGGAATTGGAAAGCTTTTCAGTTTCGGAGGCTTAGGAGTGTGGACCATTATTGATGTTTTGCTCATATCGTTACATTATCTAGGGCCAGCAGATGGTTCACTATACATATAGTAGTAGTAATCATTCAAATTTGAAAATCAGACTAATAATTAGTACATTTTAGTATAATGTAAGAAGGTATGTTTAATTCATTAAATAAAGCTAATTCTATTATCTTTCCAAAATAAAAATTAAAGGTATTGACTATTTTATTCATCATCTTCACCAAAACGAATGTGTTTCGTTATTAGTTTCTTAACTTTCTCTCTACCTCTCTTCTGTGGTACCTTTACTTGTTTATTTAACTTCATTTCACGATCTGCTTCAATTTTCTTCCAATACTCTAGCTCTGCTTCGCCACTGAGTACCTTGCACTTGTATTCTGCGCAACTCACTTGACCCACAAATTCGGTTGCCGCTTCTGCCGCATCTAACCGCAAATGTGCAAGCAAGGCGCCCTCCTTGACGTCAACGTACTTTACGGCTTCGTATTGTCGCATATCGGCCTTAAATTCTTTAATATTGACGCAAGGATTCAAAAAAGCTACCTCTACTATAAGTCCCTCTGCATAGCTGAAGAGAGGAGCGCGTTCCAAGGCAGGATTGTGCTTCATCTCTTTTGGTTGCGGCTTTGCTTCTTCTTCGCCGGCGCCGTAGAAATTCATATTCATTTTACGCAGATTGCGTTCATTTGCCTGCGGTTTCTTGGCTGGAGGTGGTGCTGTAGCGTCTAATGCTTCCAACCCGCCTGCTTCGCTAGCCTGTTGTTGTTGCTTTTCCTTCCATGCTTTGCGCTTTAACTCTGCAACTTTTTCACGTTGCAAGTTTAGATATTTGTTACGCAATCGCTTCCAGGCGCGTTTAGGCAGAATTTTCAATTCATAAAAGGATGCGTCAGTATTCAAATCAGTATCTTTCCTGCGTTTTTCTAAACTTTTGGCCTTTTTCTTCTTTTTACGGCGTTTCTTTTTATTGCTACCCTCTTCCCCGTCTTCTTGCTGCTGATCTTCGGTATCATCATTTGTATTTTCTGCTGTTTCGGTTGCGGTGGAGTTTTCATCGTTTTCGGTTTTAGACTTTTTTGTTGCAGGCCCTTCGGAGTCTAAAATATCATCGGCGCCCCTTTTGGGGTTTTTTTGCTTTTTTCTGCTCTATATCTAATTCATCTTTTGCTATAGGGGTTTCTTCATTTTGTTCTTTTATGAATGACTTAACACTCTGTAATTCTGCAGGATCAGTTTCTTCCATTCTCAATACACCATTAAAATCTTGAAATGCTTTAATAGCCTTCTCGACGCTACTCTCATGTTCAAACTCCACAAATCCGAATTCCTTGATTTTACGCGATTTAGCATACTTCGGTAGCGACACATAGACTACTGAGCCAAAACGTTCAAAAGCCTGACGTACCCAATCATGATCAGCTGCTGCAGGCAGAGCTTCAACATATAGCGTCTTTTCGTCGACATTCCGTTCAATGGGCAATGCAGTCTTTCGCTTGACTTTCAATTGTGCCTCATCCAACTCGAGCAGTTCTGAGTTAGATAGTGACTTGCAGATTTCGCCCACTGAACTAGTAAGCGCTTTCAATTTATTGAAGTTTAGAAATACCTCCAGAGGTACATCTGCAATTTGAATGCGCACCAAGTGCTTAGTTATTAATTAGTTAGAATACATGTTAGAGCACTTACAAGGATCTTTGTCGATAAGCTGCTTCAAAAATCGGTCCTTAGACAGATTAGCATCGCCAAAGTAGAATTCCATCTGTTTCCGAATAGCATTGAAATGGTGCCGCTTACGCTTCCTATAGTTTTTTGAGCCGCCTGAAATGTCACCAACAGCTTCAGCGGCAGCCGGTTTCTTATTTTTCTTTTGTTCATGTTTTTCTGTATGCCTTTCTGGCGGGGCTTCTACTGTGGACTCGGATTCCATTGTTATTACAAAAACTATTTTATTTCACCTTAAATAAAATGTACACCGCAAATGCAAACGTTTTTGTTTTATTACAACGCTTTTTTAAGTCCAAAGCGAATTTATACAAGGTGGTGTTCAAGGCGAATTTAGATTTTCGTATAAAATCGTGAAATTCGTCTTGGTGGTGTTACTGGCGAATTTAGATTTTCGGCGCGGTACTTCTTAATGTCAAAAGCAAGGCGCATGGGTGATTTTTTAAGAGCTTGATAACTTTTTTTTTAAAAAAAAACGCATAAAATTTGCAAAATCTAGATTGGTCCATGACATTTACTTTTTGAAGATAATTTCATTTAAATGTTGACCGCGGCTGCGTCTTAGGTGGTCCATTCGGAAAGTCCAATTTTGGGCAACTTTTTCGAGCATTTCGGCCGGAATAGCCCGAATTTCTTCGGAAATGTTGTCTTCCAAAGCTGGAATAGTTGCTGGCTTATTTCTGTAGACTTTAGACTTGACGTAGCCCCACAAAAAATAGTCTAAAGGCGTCAAATCGCATGATCTTGGTGGCCAACTTACCGGTCCATTTCTTGAGATGAATTGTTCTCCGAAGTTTTCCCTCAAAATGGCCATAGAATCGCGAGCTGTGTGGCATGTAGCGCCATCTTGTTGAAACCACATGTCAACCAAGTTCAGTTCTTCCATTTTTGGCAACAAAAAGTTTGTTAGCATCGAACGATAGCGATCGCCATTCACCGTAACGTTGCGTCCAACAGCATCTTTGAAAAAATACGGTCCAATGATTCCACCAGCGTACAAACCACACCAAACAGTGCATTTTTCGGGATGCATGGGCAGTTCTTGAACGGCTTCTGGTTGCTCTTCACTCCAAATGCGGCAATTTTGCTTATTTACGAAGCCATTCAACCAGAAATGAGCCTCATCGCTGAACAAAATTTGTCGATAAAAAAGCGGATTTTCTGCCAACTTTTCTAGGGCCCATTCACTGAAAATTCGACGTTGTGGCAGATCGTTCGGCTTCAGTTCTTGCACGAGCTGTATTTTATACGGTTTTACACCAAGATCTTTGCGTAAAATCTTCCATGTGGTCGAATAACACATCGACATTTCACGGTCTTCAGCAACACTCTCAGAAACAGACGCAATATTCTCTTCTGTACGCACTGTACGCATTCGTGTGGTTGGTTTAATGTCCAATAAAGTAAACTGAGTGCGAAACTTGGTCACAATCGCATTAATTGTTTGCTCACTTGGTCGATTATGTAGACCATAAATCGGACGTAAAGCGCGAAACACATTTCGAACCGAACACTGATTTTGGTAATAAAATTCAATGATTTGCAAGCGTTGCTCGTTAGTAAGTCTATTCATGATGAAATTTCAAAGCATACTGAGCATCTTTCTCTTTGACACCATGTCTGAAATCCCACGTGATCTGTCAAATACTAATGCATGAAAATCCTAACCTCAAAAAAATCACCCGTTACAAGGTGGTGTTCAAGGCGAATTTATACAAGGTGGTGTTGTAAAATCAGCTGATTTCATCGCCTTACATGTATTTTCTTTTTGCTTTTACTGATTTGACAGCACACCCATCAAAAGCAAAAACAAAATACATGTAAACTTCGGAGCGAATTGAGATTTGACATAACACCCTCCATACAAAATACATGTGGCTGTCGTTGTTGTAATCTAAATTCGCCAGTAACACCACCTTCTATAAATTCGCCTTGGTGGTGTTGATGGCGAATTTAGATTAGATGTCATCATTTTGACCAAGGCGAATTTGGTGGTGTTGATGGCGAATTTAGATTTTCGCCGAGGTACGTCTTAATGTCAAAATGATGTGTTTGTTGTAAAATGAATTCGCCTTATTTACAACAAACACATCATTTTGACATTCAGTAGTACCGTGGCGAAAATTTAATTCGCCATCAACACCACCTTGTATAAATTCGCCTTGATTTTGACATTCAGTAGTACCGCGGCGAAAATTTAATTCGCCATCAACACCACCTTGTATAAATTCGCCTTGGTCAAAAGGATGTTTCAAGGCGAATTTATTGTTTGTTGTAATATGAATTCGTCTTGTTTACAACAAACACATCATTTTGACCAAGGCGAATTTATACAAGGTGGTGTTGAAGGCGAATTTAGATTCTCGCCGCGGTACTTATTACTTAGCGTCAGTGTTGCCGTTCGCGACTAAAGGCTTAATTTGACCCTTTTTAGGCGCCAATACCCTTTGACCCGACTTTTAGAAATTTTGGATTTTTTGACCCTTTCCCAAAATTATCTGCGACTTTTGCCCCTTTTCAGAGATTTAAAAAGAAATGCAACTCTTGTAGCATCTCGATTTCTATGTTTTTTTTAAAGCTTGTCCCGCTATTTTCATATTAAATTTAACAACGGAACGTTCTAGCAGCGAAGACTTTATAATACATGTAAATTTGAATTTGACTTGGGTTCTCAAATGTTTGTTTTTTTTACTAGTAAAGAAAAGCAAATATAATATGGTGACCCTTTTCTTCGTCAATTATCAATTGGGACTTTCTGAAAAGTCTTAACGGCAACACTGCCTACGCCTTATTAAAACAGCTGTCGATGACGTTCCATTTGGCGCCCGAGTGCAGTTTCAACATTTTTGAGAAATTGGAAATTTTAACGCTATAGGAAATTTTGGCTTTTATTTAAATAAAATTATTACTTATTTGAATTCGTTCAATAAAATAACTAAAATTATCATTGCGTGATGTTAGGCGACGCAGAAGCCGGCTGGGATGATGGCATCAATTACAAGGCTATATCGTGAGTACATGTATTTCAAAACTATTAATTGTAAAGGCGAAAGTTAAACATTTTATTATAAGATGCGAAAAAATACCAGACCTTTTCTTGGACAAATTGGTAGCCAAGAACCACTTCAGCAAATTCGGCAAAATAACACGTTTCATATTGCGTCCAAGTCGTCAAAGTTGTACAGTGGAGTATGAAACAGAAGCACAGGCAGAACGCGCTCTGGATCAGGCAGGTTATTATAATGGGATTGAGTTTCAGATAGAATATGCTACACGCGAAGTTGCACATGTGCAAAATACCGAAGAATGGGTAAATCCTGAAGTGCAAGCTGAATTGGATGCGATGGGCCTTCGTCAGACTCTACCCATTTATAGAGTGCCGACTACGGCCATGTTCTCGGCTTCAAAAGCTGCGTCGTTGCGAACACAAAAGTTTCCGCTACCAGCAACAAAGCCTGGAAAATCGGATACGCCGACGGAGGTTGCCAAAATAGATACATCCTTGCGACAGGAGTATGAGGCTATTATGCGAAGACCAGCGTACACTGACGAGGAGAAATATCGCGTTTTGGATGCCCGAGATAAATTGATGCGTTTGATCAGACCGCGACAGACAGATATTATGAAGGTAGAAAGAACAAAAGGTAAAGTCAAAATTAATTTGTTTAATAGTAGATAGTAGTACCGTTTTGTCCTTTAGGCATTTGTCCAGATATGTGCCCTGAAAAAGAGCGTTTAATGCGCGAGTTTCAACGACAAGTATCAACATTTGAGATGTGTAGCGAAGAGGAGGATAGCAGATCCTCTATTTCACATAAACGTGCTATAAAAGAATATTCACGCAGTAGCGCTGACCAAGAAGTACCACTGGCACATGAACTACGACCGGAAAACGTGCTGCAAATGACGATGTTGTACCTGATGCACCGCATAATGGATCTCTGCGATGATCCGCAAACATCTATTGCCGATTGGTTCCACTTTGTATGGGATCGTACACGTTCTATACGCAAAGATATCACACAACAGGAACTTTGCTCATTGGGCACCGTACAACTTGTGGAGCAATGTGCAAGGTTTCACATTCATTGCGCCGCTCGTTTAGTGGCTGAGGATCCTTCTGTATTTGATAAAAAAATCAACGCCGAAAATTTGACAAAATGCCTTCAATCGCTAAAGTATATGTATCATGACTTGCGCATCAAAGGTGTGCATTGTCCATGTGAAGCAGAATTTCGTAGCTATATTGTTTTGTTGAATTTGGGTGATTCAAATTTCCTTTGGGAATTGAAACAGTTGCCAACACACATACAACATTCAAAGGAAATTAAGCAGGCTATAGCTTTTTATAATGCAATACAAAATAATAACTACGTACGCTTCTTTAGCATGATTCGTGGATCCGAAACGTCTTATTTGAGTGCTTGTATTCTACTTGGCTATTTTAACAAGTTACGTTGGCGAGCCATGGAGGCCATTAATAAATCGCACAACTGGAGAAAGAATGCTGTGTTAATACCATTGGCATATCTGACAAAAATCCTTGGTTTTGAAGATGAAGACTCTGCAGAGCAATATTTTACTTATCATGGATTAAAATGTAATGGCGATTCACTGTTGTTGGATCGTTTAAAGCGGCCAGACATTGACTATTCCATGGAACGTGCTTTAAATGTGAGTTGGAATTCCGCAATTAATGTAATATTTTTCTAATTAGCAAAACTTTCTTCTCCAGCTGGTCGAGTCGAAGCGTACTGTTAGTGTAGGTGAATGTGTTTGCGGTCATACTCTGGAATCGGCAAATATTTTCGAAAATAGCGTGCCTCACAACAGCTTCGATGAGAATGGCATACTTAAAACAATCGCCTGGAAAGCAGATGACCAATTGCGAGGTGAGGCGGCAGAACAGTGGAAAAGGCAACGTGAACTGGAAATGCAGCAGCGCCTGCAACAGGATGAGGCCGCAAAAACGCAGAAACGTTCTAATTCACCCGCACTCAGCCTCCCACAAATCGGGCCACCGCCCACCATTCCTACGGATTCGAGTATTTTTAAGGTGCCATTGGCTTCGCCGCCAATTCTACCTAAGCAGCACCAACAGTTCAAAACGCCACAACTTGTACAAAAATCGGTCGATTCCTCCATTTTCGGCGGTAACCAGTTTGCAGAACCAATGGCAAAATTGCAATCATCATCGTTAGCCAATTTTAAATTTGATGCTCCACAAAATACTTCCAGCGCAAGCAATATTGCTGGTAGCGTATTCGATGCTCCTGCAAAAGATAATGGCAACTCTGTATTTAAAATTCCTTTTGCCGCCGCTAAACCTGCCACCACTATTGCTAGTGGATTGGGTAATTCTATCTTTGGTGGTGATGCATTTAAACAACCGCAACTACCATCTGCTGCTGGTGTTTTCTTATTCGAAGATGCTAAGAATCGTGTTAAGAGCGATAACATTTTCGGCAATGTCGCCAAATCGACAGCAATCATTTTTCAGCAAACAAAGACCCCAAATCCAGAACCCATGCCTAAAGATAGCGTGTTTCAACATTTCAACACGCAGCCGGTGCTGCCAAACTTTGTTGAACCCCATTTAGAGGTCAAGGAAGAGTCGAAAACTATTTTTGGCGCTGCCGCTTTTCCGCAGCTATCTTCAAAACTGCCGCAAGCAGAGACGGCTAAGCGCATAGCTGAAGCTGAACTGAGCCAGCAAAAAGAATTTGAAAGACAACGCGAACTAGAAAAAGAACAGGAGGCGGCAAAGATACGTCGCGAAGAAGCGGAAAGGAAACATCAGGAAGCATTAAAACTTCTGCAACAACATGCGGAACGTGTTAGTGCTGATGAGCTGGAAAGCGTGCTTGCCACACAGGTGGCTGTTATTGCTCAAAGCGAACTAAGCAAATACCAAAAGTTTCAACGCGACTGCGAAGGTATTGCTGAGGCATTGCTTGACCATTCTATAGCTATGCAACTCGAAGAGTTGGCCAATGAAGAATATGCCATGATGTGCCACGATCAGCTTATCCTCAATCGCTACTTTGAACGCTGGTTACGCTATACACGCAAGAAAAAGAAGCAACGCGCTCTAATGGAGTCCACGCCCGTTTGGGTGACCATGGACACACGCGCTGAACAAACTGCCAAAATAAGGCATCCCAACCAATCAGAAACTTTGCAGATGATCAAGCGTTATCGACATGGCGAACCGTGTAATTTCCAACTGCTACTTTGGAAACATCCAGACACGCCGTCACCTCCGTTTCAGTGCATCGACATTTTCGCGGTGGTGCGCGCACATATTGCACGTAAATCGATAGTAAAATGTGGCCACATGCAAAGCATCAAGTACTTTAAGTTAGTGCTGACGCTGCCCAATGATCACGATGAGTTGCCCGGCTTCGAAAGTCTGTGCAACAAGTGGCTGCGCAAGCATGTGAAGCGTATCAATAACGGCAACACTTCGGAAGTGGATGATACGTACAATAGGAGTCCATACATATGCGCCATGGAGCGTGATGTGGCATTGTGTGTGCGTAAGGTGAGCGGAATTCCGCCACTAACCGAGAGGGGCAATACAGTGTGTAACGAATGCGACAACGCTGATGCAATTATCTGCCTAATGGGTTGTGACAGCATACAAAACACGCGTAAGCGCATGCATCACCTAATCAAATTGAGCCGACTGAACAAAGCTGTGCCAGTAGCTTTCATAGTCTACGACGGCCAATATACAGATGAGCTGGAGCTGAGCGATATACTGGAAATGGAGACCTTAGTGGACGAGGGCAAAATATCGGGTTACAAATTTTTTGGTTGCCAGCAAAGCAAGAATGCATTTTCATTCGTACAACATATGGGACGTGCATTGCGATACGTGGTACGAGAAAGTAGCTTCTGCAACCAATCAACCGAAGCATTAGAGATGCAAAAGCTACAAAGTTTCCTAGAAGCATGTTTGGGTGAAGAATTGTGGCAGCGCTGGCAACAATCCTCCGAACAAAATCCATGCTTTGCTAAGATTTGCGCCATACCGCAACACTTGGCGGAGCTGTACAATGAAGCGGTGAAGCGTGTCATGCAAATCACTGCAGAAGACTTTGCCGATGCGGCAGAGCTTGCGGAGGAGCTGCGCGAATTTGTGCCCAAATTAGAGGTCGATATACCGCTTGGCTTTGAATACTTCCCAAAGGATTGGAAATCTGCGCAGCGCCGACATCAGATTTCAATATTTTTGCAGCGTTTGTTGTTAGCACCTATTGAAGAGGCGCCACAATTCCATGAGGTCGGCGACTGGGAATTGTGGTTGCTGAACTATTCTAGTCGTTGCATACCAAATGATGAAGAGATCGCCACTGCCGCTAGTTATCAATCAATCAGAGCACTAATTGTACAGCTGAATCGTAGCGATTTAGCCCATCTAGATGTGGTCGCACGCTTCCAAGTAATAAACTATTTGCCTGTCATGAAAGCCATAGCCTACGCACAGATAAATGCCGTGCTCAAGGACTACATCGAAAAAGTCAATACCAACGATTACAAATTACCCAACGAAATCATTTATCATCGCCAAGCGCTTGAGGATTACCAGCTAGTGCCGTGGTGGTTAAATAACGTGGCGGTTAAAGCGGTGAAAATAGATTACTCTGCTATTGAAGAACAAGACACGAGTTTGCAGGATAAGGAGCTAGAAGACGAAGAGGCAGCAATGAACTGCAAGATGTTGGACGAAATTATAAAACAAGCTGAAGAGGTTTCACGCAAAGCGGAGGAAAACTTTTACTCATTGAAGAAGCAAACAATTAGCGCGGATACAGCGGAGCTGGCACGTGACTTGGATGCTAGCATCTATCAATTTGAATTGTCAAAACAAATAGGATGCTATGATGCCTCCTTTGTGTCAAAGGCAAGTGAAATTAATACCGACTTAGAAGGGGCAGTTGGTGGCGCTATTGCAATGAATAATAGAAGCGGTGGCGGTGATGGCTTTTCTAAAATGCCTACAAGTAGAAAACGTAAGCATATCGGAGGTGCTCATGGGGAAGTTAATGAAATGGAAGCGGTTATGACACGCGCTTTTAATGTTATTGAGAAAGCGGAAGCGAAACAAGACCGCGCCGAACGTCTGTGCAAGATGGCTATGCTAGAGCTGGAATGATTGTTGTCAAGTGTATGATTCGATTCGACAATATTTATATGGTAACTTATTAAGGGCGGGGGGGATGAATGCTAAATTATACTAAATTATATTACATATGTATGAACGTAGTTATATCAAGAAAGAATTAGGCTTCAAAATAAATTTTAACTATAAGGACGTTTTAGAAAGTGCATTTATTTATTTTAAAAATAGTTAAAAATGCTAAAGAGAAAATTATAAGGGAGACCTCTAACTCTAGCTGTTATTAAGCAAACCGAGCGATAAGATGCGGAGGATTTTCAACAAAGCAAATCGCACAGGGTGCTGGGGTGAGTTCCAGTACAGTACAGTAAGAAGTTAGATTAGAAAGGACAAAAGAAGTAATTGCAGAAACGTGTGGGAAACACAGCACCTACAAGATTAGGAAAAGACTTAGCCAGTGGAACTATGCAAACGGCGCAGCAAACAGGTTCCGTTAAACAGAAGACGGAGTCCTGATAGCTTAGACAGGAGACTGGTAAAATAGTTATTTACCCGGCGGACAGTCGCTGGGCATTGGACCAGAGCTACGGAGACACTGATGGCGTGTAAGCATCTAGCAGGTATATCTTGATGGGTGTAGGAGCCCAAGACGGAAACAACCTGGCGTCCTAATAATTCCGAGGCACATGTTCAGGTGAACATTCTGAAGTGGAACACAGAAAATCTTAAGAGACTTTGAAGGCAGTTGTCTTACTAGCATTTTTCAAGCGTTAACGTTTAAATACTTTATCTTTTGAGGTTAAATCCTCTAGTTTTGGAGTGCATTGAGAAATTTGACGCCCTCGTCGAACTAGTCGTAAGGGAATAGATGGCAATGACGTAGCGGATGGCTTAGCCAGAAAGGCAGCGGCATCAACTCCCTCAGGGACAGAGCCATTCTTTGCAGTAGGTTGAAACACGATCAGTGTAGAGATCAGGAAGTAGATAATCAAATTCACAGTCATTCGACGAGCCAAAAGCTTAATGCTGCTAAAAACTGGACAGATATGGGCTTCTAATTAATAATAATAATAACCTTTTGGCGCTTACGATTTTGCTAAGTGTTGGGATTACTTTTCCTCCAATTTGTGGTGGGTGTCTTGAGTTGTTATTACAAATGGAGGGACCTACAGTTTTACGCCGCCTCCGAACAGCAAATAGATTTTATGAGAAGCTTTTTCATTGCAGAAATACACTCGCAGATTCGCCATTGCCTGCCGAATCCTTCTAGTTTTAGATGTTGCCCGGATTGGGGATCCAACCCAGGTTCTACGGAATGGTAGTATGCACATCTAACCACTCAGTCAAAAGAAATAAGGGATTTTCATAGGCATGTGGTTGTAACGGCACTGTTAAGCCCTGCCTAAATCGGCTAGTCTATCTATCGTTGCTGTCAAGCTCAACTAACGGTAGACGGGAGAGGGGTATTAGCTTAGTGGGTTTGATTGAGTAAGTGAAGAGATGGTTGCTGTCGTACGAGAAACCTTAACAACCCGGAAATATGTTGGGTATGTCGGATCGTGACCTTAAGTGGTAACGGATGTCGTTTATGTATACATATGTATGTATGTAAATATATTGATATTATGTACATATATGTAGATAAGCTACGGGCTAGATTCACAAATACCTTATTAAGCTTATGAAGCATCACAAAACAAACAATCTTAGTGCGACTGAAATAAATAAATTAATAAATATTTTGTGATTAAGAAAAACAGGCGTATCAACAAAGAGATGATAAAGCAGCGCGCAAAATACATTTTCACAAATTGACATCCGCTTTCTACCCTATTATGAAAAAATAGATGTATTCATACATAGTACATGTCTACTTAAGAAATTCAAATAATTACCACCTTAATTTCACAACTTGCTAATGTAAAATGTCGATGTCCCAAATTCGCCTTATCTTTTATCATCGACGAACGTAAGAACTGCATGAAACATCAACAACATTAAATATTATTGTACTGCTGAGCCTTAAGTACACTTGCCAAATGTGTATGCATACTATTTTCGGCTTGATTCGAATCGGAGATAAACATGTTTTTGCAATGTTGAATAATAATGAAAAGCTGCTTTTCTGTTGAAGAACTGCTAATTTTTATTTGAATTCAAGCCCATCAGCAAATGCTGCTTAATATTATTCGTGCTATAATGCTTAATATTTGGCACGAACTTGAATACAGTAAGACTCTAAACTAGCGTATTTTTTTACGGGCCTTCACCTATTTCATAATTTCACGCCATAAACTTAGTGACTAAAGATAGAACTAACATTCATTTTATAGAAATATAGGGTTGTTCTTGGTTCTTCTCCTATAATTTCAGTGTCAACAGCAAACAACACTAAATGCTTTGTTAATTATTTTGTTTTGATTACTCACCATGCGCCTGCAGCACGTGCTTGTTGTGAGTGCAATAATGGCATTTTTTTGGTTCTTTGCCAATTAACGCTTACTTCTTCATTCTCGTAACACAAATATGTTTTCTTTGCGTAGATTATTCTAGAACGTCTTACCTACAAAAACATTTGTTGTTGTTGCTGCATTTTCTAATTAACTGACACATTCACTAAAAGAAGGTATCTTCAAACTTGCAACATTTAACATATAAATTTGTTTTTCTTTACATTCATTAGCAATATGTATATATTTTGAATTACGTTGAAACATAAGGGAAACTTATATAATTGCTAGCAAGTTAATGCCATTCCAATAATTTACTGCAAGTGATGTTGAGTCTTGCACTGTCGTAGCGCCTCGTTGAAGCCCTCGCAGAGTGTCAGGTCGGATTGACCCTGAGCACATTGCAGGAACTGCTTGATTTCCCAGGTGCAAGGGCCTTGGGGCTCGTTGGGCTGAGCGCCGTTAGCAAGATATTGTTGAGCTGGTGCCGAGGCAGCAGGGGCGGCTACTTCTTTATCGCCAGAGCCACTGAACAATCCGGTTATGCCGGCCCCGATGGTGTGACCCTGAAATTAATCATTTTTTAGGTTAATGTTAATACATCGTAAAATTTTACATACAATTTTTGGGGAAAGGTATTATACCGGGAAGCACCATTAAATTAACTGATTGTTTATATAATTTAATTGAAAAAATGTTTTTATATCACCAGGTAAAACAAAGAATTGTTTTGCTATTCCAATTACTTACCACTGCTGATCCGACGGCTACGCCGCCAGCGGTAGCTGCCATCTGCTGAAACATCGATGGTTGCTGTGGTGCGCCAACAGCGCTGGGTGCAGCTTGTACAGGCGCTGGTGGAGCAGCGGGTGCAGTGCGTGCTGGCACATTTGGTGTTGGTGCCGGTGCATAGCGTGTAGGCACGCTCCTGGGTTATAAGGAATAGAAAAATCGTTACATCATTAGTTTGTTCTTTGTTATTGATTTTAATGATATGTATTTGTTTGTTTCATCACTATGCATTGCGTTTCGATACTAATCAAGCGCAATGTTCGAGAAAGTTGTGGAGCTGTTACGCAACAACGAAATGTGTTCGCCGTACATCAAAATTTCACCAATATCTTTTCTTTACGGTTTATCGTCAATAATTGCACTAATTAATTATAGAAGTACATTTTTTAAGTGGAAATGTTAATAAACTCCACGAATGACCTAGCACTTTGTACCCATGTGGTTGTAAACGTCACAGATCCACAATTTTCCCACTGCAAGAAATGGCCAATGGACTTACCTCCTGGTAGCTGGTGGTGGGCTAGCCGAACGTCCACGTCGTACCATTTTTAAAAATTTTCTTTTTTAAATAATCACAAAAGTTTTAAACAATGAATTATACTAATATTTGGTATTCGCTTGAAATTTCACTTATATTTGCTTTGGAGCTCTTCGCTTTTCACGACTTAATTCTTGCTTTTTCTCTTTTCAACTGACGTTTAATTCACAGCTATGTGTCTTTTATAAAAATTCTGATTTGCCAGAAATTTCCTTCTGCTGCTTCTGCTTCCAAAACAGATTCGCATTTGATCCCTAACGGCGCGTTTGCATTAGACAATGCTGTCAAGACAATAAAGAAATACGTCTTAGTTGTCAAAAACGCTGATAATTGTCTCCGCGGCATAAGCGTCCTGACAATAGTTATGACAATTCATTTTGAGCAAAATGTCGGATGTGAACGTTGTATTATAATACGCATTTCCCGCGAGCTATTTAAACTAAACACTAAAAAATAATAATTAATAGACAAAGTTACATACCCATCACCGTTTCTTGTGTTATTTTAGTTCTTTTGTTATGAATTTCTTTTCTTTCTGCACAAGACGTCAAAATTATTGTCTGCATACGTCAAATCACTGTCCGATTTACTTCATGGACTAGGTTCACACAGAGAAACTTTCGTTGCTCATTTTCGGCAATTTCTCTTTTGGTGTTGCCCTTCGCGTTCACACGAGATAAATTCTTTTGTACACAATTGTTTTTGTCAGCTGTGAACGACCAACTAGAATTACTCAGACGAACGAAAGCGTGTTGCCCGAGCACGAGCAACTCGGTGCCCTTCCTCGTCTCCCCCTCTCACACAAGTAACGAGTTGCCGCGACAAAGGTTTCTCCGTCTGACTAGACATGACAGTATTGTCCGGTGTAAACCCTAACATAGGGTTTTCAAAAATTTCTAAACTAAAATATAATTGTTATTTTCGTCAAATATTAAGTAAACAATGCTTAAAAAACTTTAGATGCACTGAAAGTTGCTAATACTTTCACACAAATCGCCGTTTTTTAACATTTTCGCTATTAATTGATTTTATAAAGCATATATTTTGCAATTTATCACAATAAAGCCACGTTACCTGTCGAAAAATTTAATATTGAGAAAATTTACTATTATACAGTTTATTTTATCCTCCCATTCCGCCTGTTGTTACGGCGCGTTTACATTGGACAATGCTGTCAAGATAATGAAGATATACGTATTAGTTGTCAAAATTGTTGCAATGGAAAAGTATGCATGTATTACTGAAAAAGTGTGCATGTATTGCTATTGTTATGACAGTATTGTCCGGTGTAAACCCTAAGTTAGTGTTGGCATAAATGCACAATACTACCAAATCTCGAATTAAAAAAATTCATACGGGGATCGATAGAGATCATTGAGGTGAGTGTAACGATGTAATTTTTTTTTTTGGGAAACAACAACTACAACAATTATTAAAGGTCAAAGTTCAAATTAAGCATTTTCTCAAATTAATATTTCTCGAAAACCTCTTCA